CTAGAGTTTGACAGACTGCAAGAACGACTTTTTTCTACTACTACTACTACTACTACTACTACTACTAGAGTTTGACACACTGCAAGAACGACTTTTTTTACTACTACTACTACTACTACTACTACTAGAGTTTGACAGACTGCAAGAACGACTTTTTTTACTACTACTACTACTACTACTAGAGTTTGACAGACTGCAAGAACGACTTTTTTCTACTACTACTACTACTAGAGTTTGACAGACTGCAAGAACGACTTTTTTCTACTACTACTACTACTACTACTACTAGAGTTTGACAGACTGCAAGAACGACTTTTTTCTACTACTACTACTACTACTACTACTACTACTAGAGTTTGACAGACTGCAAGAACGACTTTTTTCTACTACTACTACTACTACTAGAGTTTGACAGACTGCAAGAACGACTTTACTTTTACTACTACTAGAGTTTGACACTACTACTACTACTAGAGTTTGACAGACTGCAAGAACGACTTTTTTTTTACTACTACTACTACTACTAGAGTTTGACAGACTGCAAGAACTACTACTAACTACGAGTTTTACTACTACTACTACTACTACTAGAGTTTGACAGACTGCAAGAACGACTTTTTTCTACTACTACTACTACTACTAGAGTTTGACAGACTGCAAGAACGACTTTTTTCTACTACTACTACTACTACTAGAGTTTGACAGACTGCAAGAACGACTTTTTTCTACTACTACTACTACTTCTAGAGTTTGACACACTGCAAGAACGACTTTTTTCTACTACTACTACTACTTCTAGAGTTTGACACACTGCAAGAACGACTTTTTTCTACTACTACTACTAGAGTTTGACACGCTGCAAGAACGACCTTTTTCTACTACTACTACTAGAGTTTGACACGCTGCAAGAACGACCTTTTTCTACTACTACTACTACTAGAGTTTGACACACTGCAAGAACGACTTTTTTTCTACTACTACTACTACTAGAGTTTGACACATTGTAAGAACGACTTTTTTACTACTACTACTACTAGAGTTTGACACACTGCAAGAACGACTTTTTTCTACTACTACTAGAGTTTGACACATTGTAAGAACGACTTTTTTACTACTACTACTACTACTAGAGTTTGACACATTGCAAGAACGACTTTTTTTTCTACTACTACTACTACTAGTAGAGTTTGACACACTGCAAGAACGACTTTTTTCTACTACAACAACTACTACTACTACTAGTAGAGTTTGACACACTGCAAGAACGACTTTTTTCTACTACAACAACTACTACTACTACTAGTAGAGTTTGACACACTGCAAGAACGACTTTTTTCTACTACTACTACTACTACTAGTAGAGTTTGACACACTGCAAGAACGACTTTTTTCTACTACAACAACTACTACTACTACTAGTAGAGTTTGACACACTAGTAGAGTTTGACACACTACTAGAAGACTACTACTACTACTAGTAGAGTTTGACACACAGTACAAGAACGACTTTTTCTGAATTATTTTTACTACTACTACTACTAGAGTTTGACACACTGCAAGAACGACTTTTTCTACTTTTTACTACTACTACTAGAGTTTGACACATTGCAAGAACGCGTTTTTTGACTACTACTGCTACTGCTACTACTAGAGTTTGACACATTGCAAGAACGACTTTTTTTTCTACTACTACTAGTTTGACTACTAGAAGAGTTTAACACACTGCAACTTGTTAAGACTTTTTTTTCTGGCTTTGAAGAATTTTCTATTACACTACATCTACTACTAGAGTTTGACACACTGCAAGAACGACTTTTTTCTACTACTGCTACTGCTACTACTAGAGTTTGACACACTGCAAGAACGTCTTTTTTCTACTACTACTACTAGAGTTTGACACATTGTAAGAACGACGTTTTTCTACTACTACTAGAGTTTGACACATTGTAAGAACGACTTTTTTCTACTACTACTACTACTACTACTACTACTACTACTAGAGTTTGACACATTGTAAGAACGACCTTTTTCTACTACTACTACTAGAGTTTAAACTTTAATAAACGTTAATTTAGACTTTAATAAAAATAGACAGCCTTGGAAACTCTCTCGTCTCTTCTTCAGTAATAAAATTCAAGCAACCTGCAAAAAAGAAAGCAAGATTGCAAGGTGAACACAACAGAACTACAAGTCTCAGGAGGATATTTACAACTAGAATCAGTCATAATTCACAAGCTATTGTTTCTATGAACAATGGGAGCGAACCTACTTCTAGTGTAACTGTGCCGTGTTTTCATACCAAAGCCTCTGTGGTCTAGCGGTAGTGCATACTTTACAACTCAGATTAGACGACGGCCGTATCCCCGCCGTCGTTTAATTTAAGTTGTTAAAGCACCTCCAAGGGGCCGAAGGCCCCGTTGGTCAGTTTTCTTTTTCCTTTTAATCTTTAAAGGAGTAGAAACTAATTTAATTTTAAGAGCTCCAATAATTTTTATCTGAAATTTTTTTCAGAAAAAATTCTCGAAGCTTTTAAAATTAAATAAATTCCTGCTCCTTTAAAGATTAAAAGCGAAAAAAAAAGAAAAAAAAAAAGAAAACCGGCTAAAGGCGTCTTATGATCCTCAGAATTGCAGAGTTACAACTTAAACGACGATGAGAGGAGATGGTCATCGAACGAGCCAGGCAAAGTGCATTACCACAAAACCACAGTGGCGAATACAAAGCAAAAGTACACATCATGAAGAATATTTTTTAACAAAAAATTCTTGAAATGTAAAATAATCTGCATTAAACATCATACATGTAGAGTAACCCCTCTTTTAAAGACGTTCATAACTTTTTCTTGGAGACGTTTTGTCTGCTTTAAATTTCTTGGATGGACACTTAAGTTTCAACTTTATCAGCTGTAAGAGTTGAATTTAATTATGAATGTATTTATGTTTCACTTACAAAACGTTTACCTCTCTTCAGAAAAAGCTTTTGCGACTAAATCTTATTTCTAGCTAAAAATTTTCGTCCCGCTTGAGAAAAAGAAAATGATGTTAGGAAAGGTCATTATACCAATTTTTCTAATTTTCAGTTTGAAATATATCTTCTCTTTTTGCTTTTAAACAACTACAGCACCCAAAGGATCACATCGACCTTTCCAGTAAGACTTCCATAAAAAGGCTTAAAATGATTACCGATCATGTCCACAAGACTGAATGACAAGGAAACTGATTTTGTTCCTAGAATCCCAGCTATTTCCTCTCATAAATGATTTTTCTGATTGTTTTCCTTGAGTTTCCTTTTGTTTAAAAATTTCTGCTCGTATAGAATTAAAATCTGCAAGAACAATTTCGTGGTTCAAGGTTAGAATGTTTGAGTTAATAGCAATTTCAATTATTCTCAATTTTTTTTAAAATTGTCATGGATCACAATTATTTGTCTTTTTCATTAAATTTACACTCTGAGGGGAACATCTTCAGACATTTTTTTTAGTTTAAATTGTTTCATTATCCATTTATTATGATCTCTCTCTATTGATAAATAAATTATTTATCTGCCAAATGTCTCTTGTGTTCTTGTATTTGTTGATCATAAAGAAACTTTCACTAATGGAGGCAGTTTTTCAGTTTGCAGTTTTTCAGTTTGCAGTTTTAAAAGACATTTCAAAATGTATCTTTTCAAGCAAGCTTATAACTCTCTCTAATTTTTTCTAGATGATAAATAAGCAATTTTTCCCACTTCCCCCTTTCTCTTTTAGCTTTTTAATGATCTTTAATGTAAAGCGCCATGGAAAATTAAAGGATTCGGCGCTATACAAATATTTTATTCCTTATTGAGAAGTTCTATCTATTCAAAAAGGCAAATTTAGAATCAGCGATTAAAAGATGCTAAACAACACATTCTCCCTAGTTAAATGCGCACAAAACGTTCCCTCGCTCTCTCAGAGAAAAAAAAGCCTGTCTGCTCGATTGAAAAAAGAAAATCAACTTGGAAAGTATTTCTCTCATAGGTAACATCAATTTAAAATATTCTTTTGAAAAAGTTATCATTGGAAAAATGGGTGTAAAGGGGCTCATCTTTGGGCCGCCGGCCAAGTTTCAAATATAAATTTTATAAGCTTTCTCGAGATATAATTTACAATCTTACTCGTACAAAAATGACTCACAATTTTTTTTTTGTATTGTAATATGCTCATAGAGGTATTCCTTGGCAGTATGACAGGCTTTTTCTAGAGGGAGGGTAGTTTGCTAGCTGCAATCGTTTAGGGACGCTTCATAGAGAGACTTGGGTTGTAGATTTGTAACAAAATTTTCGTAATGATAACGGTTTCTTGTTCTTCAAGAATAAGGAAAAAAACGAGAATTTATTTGGTTCTTCAAAATTTATTTGGAAACAGAAAAGCACTTTTTCTCTGAAGCATCTAGTCTGCCTAAGAAGTTTTATTTGACGATGGCAGGAGCCCACATGGGCTCCTGACGATGGATAAATTTAATGAAACAGAAGATTCTTTGGAGTAGAATTTCACTGTATGAAAGTAATTAACGTTCAATTCATATTAAAAATAATCCTCAATTGATTTTTTAGGTTGATATATAGTTTGGTTATTTTCTTTTAAAACTACTGAAAGTTTTTAAATATGTATATTTTGTATGTGATTTCTCATCTGAGAAGATTCTAATTTAACATGGAATTACATAGATCCTTTCAATTAGAGTACACTATATCCAAAAGGCTTTGTGATTGTTAAAAAAGTAAATCGTCGGAGTTAAAATATTTTTCAGTAGTTTTTAACGTTTGAATTTTAGGAATATTTACAAGATTTAATAACTTAAATCTTGCATGAACTTGTTTCGTTTGAAAACGACTTTTAACTGGTTTTAACAGCTCAATTTGTTTAAGCTAAGATTTTGTTCTCTACCGGAAATTGTAAGAGAAAATTTATCATTTTCTTTTTCTCGTTATTTATCATTATTTCAAAAGTTTTGACTTTCTACCTCTGCGTTTTTGCAGCAATCTAGTATATTCCTCGAATTTGGCAACAATAAAAACAAGACAAGAAAAAACTATGGCATTATCAGAATATATTACCATATTTACCATACTACGAGCATTCCCTCTCTACAAGGCTTATATGCTCGGATTCGGTCAGGTTCGTAAAGGTTCTTCTAGGGCAGACCACAACACCGGGCACTACGTTCCCTACTCTTTGCGATAAGTGTGTGGGTTCTTTAACGTTCCCTACTAACTAGTACCGAGAAGATGCAGGAGACGGGGCCTACAGCTTTTCGTCCTTATCTGAGAAGACTAGAATGTCTAACCGCTTGCAGATGTCATAGCAGAGGCAGCGCATTCTTCTCAGTCATTTTAAGACCCTGAGTGTGGGTCCGGCCTGGGTCTTGAAGCCCGACCTCCCGCACGGTAGTTCGGCGCTCATCCACATGAGCTAACCAGGCGGCGGTTATTATATCAATTATATCAAAATTAAGAAAATTTAGGTACTACGCGATGGTTATCGTGCATGAAAATCTGTATAATTATAGCGGCTACAATAAGTACGTTAGGTGGACTTTCATGTACGAAGACCTTTACGTATTTCTTGGACACGTCTGTTTTACCATCAGAAGAAACAAACTGATCGATTCATCAAGATACTCGCTTAACAATCGAATGAAAGAATTCTAATAGTGCGCAAGTTACTAACATAACAAACAGATGTAAAACAATCCTAAAAGTGCACGAGATACTAAAGTAAAGTCCGATGGAAGGGAATCGTAAAAGTGCGCAAGATGCTAACGTAACAATCGAAAGTAAGATCGTCCGAAAACTGCACGAGATACTGACGTCACAATCGAATGAAAGACAATCCTAAGAGTGCTCGAGATACTACTGTAACAATTAGTCAAAAGAGAATTCTAAATTCTAGCATTCAAATCGAATGTAAGAAAATCCTGAAAGTCCACAAGATGTAAACGTAACGATCCAATGAAAAACAATTCTAAAAGTGCGTGAGATACTAATGGAACAATCTGATGAAAGATAATCCCTAGAGTGAGCAAGGTATTAACCTAACAATCGAATGTAAGATCGTCCCAAAACTGCGCGAGATACTGACGTAACAATCGAATGAAAGACAATCCTAAAAGTGTGCGAGATACTACTGTAACACTCAGTTAAAAGAGAATTGTGAACGTGCGCAAGATACTAACGTAACAACAAGATGTAAGAGAATCCTAAATGTACGCAAGATATTAACCTAACAATCCGATTTGAGAGAATTCTTAAAATGCGCGAGATACTAACGTAACAATCGAATGTTCTTGAATCCCGAAAGTACGCAAGATACTAACGGACTATCGAATGTAAGGAAACTCCAGAAGTTCGCGAAAATAGTAAGGTAACACTCCGATGAAAGAGAATCCGAAATTTTCACGATATAAAAACGCGTAATCGGATATAAGATAATCCTAAAAGTGCGCGCAACGCTAAAGAAACAGTTAGTTAAAAATTATGCAAGAAGTTCACGAGAAACTACCATAACAGTCGAATGTAAAATAAGGATTCAATCTAAGATGATCCTTGACGTGTACAAGATAGAAGGTAATAATCGATTTTAAAATAATTCTAAAAGTACACGAGATATAAAAGCACAAGTCGAGTGTAAGATAATCCTAATAGTGCTAAAGATACTACCTTGACTATCTGTTGAAAGAGAATCCTAAAAGTTCGCGCAACACCAACAAAACAATCAGATAAAAAGGAACTTTAAAAGTGTGCACGATATTTACGCGACAATCGAATATAAGATAATGCTAAA